TAATTCCCCCACTGCTCATATCCTTTTCATCTCAGAACTTGGAAGGTTGATTTTACAGACTACGGCTCCCATCATCCCTCGCCCGTCCCATCCGCCATCCACCGATCCCAGCGCTTGAGAACGGTTCTGCAGGACTACGACTCCCAGTCCTTCGGGGTCCTTCCCTCTCTTTCTCCATCCATTCATGCTAGACTTTGGGAGTACAAAAAAAACACTTCCTGGATTTGGACTACCATGCCCAAAATCCACCCCCAGCTAGCTTTAAATGGCTCTGTAGCTTTGCCACTTGGGACGATTCTGGGGATTGTCCCAAAGAGGGCTTCTCCCCATCCATGACCTCTAATCCCCAACCCAGAGAGCATCCTGCACATACAGTATACAGTATATCTATATCTATCTATCTGTCTATATATACAGTCTCCCATGCGCTCCCTCCATATTCCAGGATGCCCTAAATATATATACATTCCGGAACTTGGAGGGAGCACATGGGAGACCCACCTTGGGGGGGGGAGAGAATGGGTCCTTCACGGCTCCTGGGGTTGGTGCCGTCCAACCCCCCCCCCCAAAAGCCCTTGGAGTTGACTTTGCAATCATCCTGGCATGCCAGGATGATGAAACATGAAACGGATCAAGGCCCCATTGCATTTCTCCGGTGGGACGAGGATGGGTCCGGTTGGCTTCTCCTCCCCTAACAGAGGCAGCTGCTCAGTTTATCTGTCTGTAAAGTGGGAAGAAGCGGTCCAGGGTGAGCGAGGGCTCCTTGGCCCCTTCCTGGATGGCTTTTGGCCCCCCCCCCAGCGGGTTCCTCCCCTCCTGCCTGCCTTATCTCTCCATCTCTTCTTTCTCTTTCCTCCCTTCTCTGACGTGGCCCGTCTCCTCTCGTGGCTCTCCCCCTTCCTTCGCTTCCTCCCCAGCTCCTTGGGCTTCTTCTCTCTGTCTAACGCCCTCCCCAAATCCCCTTTCTGCCCCATCCCCACCTGATGGACGATTCGCCCCCCCTTCTGTATCCCTTGCAGGAGAAGAGCGAATTTTTGCACAACTCGGGGAAGGGGGGGAAGACCCAGGTGGTGCGAATTTGCTCCGGGCTGCTGGGTTAGGGGGCCGAGGTACCTGGGAGGCCTTGGGAATCCCCCCCAGTTTCTTTTAAGAGCCCTCGGGTGATCCGTGATCCGTTCTCCACGTCACCCTTCCTCTCCTCGCCAGGGACTAGCCCCCCCTTCCCCAACACAACCTTTCGCCCACAAGAGGAAACTGCCAACCCTGAACCGTTTCACGTCCTCTTTGTTTTTTCACACTCGTTTATTTCCTTTTGGATTGCTACAGCCCAGATAAGGGTTTACTGCTAATCGGAGGCTCTGAAGGAGGCCGGATTCTGCCCCCCTCCTCCCTTCTTTAATGGCCATCCTGGATCTTGGCCCCTCTCTGCCAAATCCTCTCCTCGGACTGATAGATTTCCCTCGGCTGTGCCCAAACTTCCCACGGATGCACGAAAACGAGGAACTGGCCTACCTTGCAGGGGCCCCGTGTGCCTGGGGATAGTGGAAGGGATGTGCAAATTTAAAATATAGGTATATTCAATGAATTAGGATGTCAGGGATCTGTGAGAGGAGGTTATGGGGATAATCGGTATGATCCAACCGGGAGGGAGACCTGAGTTCTGTCTTCATTATGAGGGTCATATTTTTTACTTAAGGGGACTATTTCCTCTCTTTCTCTCTTTCCATAAGTTTAGTCCCCTTTGATCTGAAAAAAATGGGAACATGAATAATTACTATTGCAGTATTGTTGGGGAGCAGTTTAAAAAGGGGAGGAAAGTGCCTCGCAAATGGAAACTGCAACGTATGTGTTTGATTCTTTTAAAACATGTGTCCGTTTACTGTTTTTTGCTTTTAATTACTGTCTTTTGATGATGTAAGCCACCTGGGGTCCTTTTTTCTTAGGAAGAAAGGTGGAATGAACTAACTAACTAACTAACTAACTAACTAACTAACTAACTAAAAGCATCTTGAGGTAGGGCTCCATGAGAGGCGCATATTTTTTTTAAAAAATTAACTAGTTTGTCCCTCGACCCAGTTAGGACATCTGTGCTCCCATTTTACAGCTGAGAAACTGAGGCAGGAAGGAAAGGAGCTTTCCTGAGGCCATTGAGTGACATTCGCTGGCATAGCGAGAGGGGGGTTCCCAATAAACAGCCTTTAAACACGTTTGCACATTGGCTTCTCCAACTTCCTAGTGCTCTCCTTGCAGGAGAACCAGTGGCCCGCAGTAAGCAAGCTGGCACATCGGACGGATCCGCGCTCCTGTTTTAAAACAAAGGAGCTGTGTGAATTGGATGCACAAAGTGGCTTTCCTTTTCTTTTTAAAATTAAGAAACTTTCCAGAAGGGGCAGAACGAAGGCTACGCGGAGGCTGCAGGGGAGGGAGGGAGGGGAGAACCGGCTGCGTGTTGGAACAGTGTGTACTCTTCTCTGTGTCTCGCACCCCGAGGCCACGGCGTTGCCCTCGCACCCGGCTCTATCAGAAGCCTTGGCTTGGGTGAAAGTCCATGCCATGCTGTCTGCCCTTTGGCCTTTACTCTGCCGTCCTGGAGCCCCGCCAGCATTGCACCAATCCGATTTGGCCAGCCGGTCCTTGGGGAGTGTGGGTGGGTGTGTGTGTGAACCCTCGCCTTCCCCCAACCTGTTGTGCAAGGGTCAAGGGGTTGTGTACGTACCTACCTAGCCGCACAAACAACCCACGCGAGGGTGCCGTGAGTCCTGGCGGGAGAGATCGGAGGCCGGGACACCGGGCTCAGAGGTCAGCGTACCTGCGAGCCCCAGGAGTTGACTAGTGGACTCTGCTCTTGCACGCTCATAGTTGTGCATGAGCTGCAGGGCTGTCAGGAAAGTGTGGCCTTAAAAAAAGGTGTGTTCCACACCAACACGGAGGCCTCCGAAAAGCGGCTTTCCTGGATCACGCCGCCCAGAATCCTGGAGCGGAAGTTTCTGGGAATGGCGTTGCAATAAAATAAGTCTTCTATACAGTATACCAAATCCGCGCCGGGTCCAGAAGAGCGCCGTTTGCACGCTGGCTCAGTTTCAGAAAACTTATGCAAGCGATCGTACTAACTATACGTTCAGCTTGCTTGCACAAGCAGGTAAATTTGAGTAGGCCCCTGCACACTTAAAATTTGTGTGTGCAATTTTAAGTGTGCCTGCATGTTTTTTGAGTTTTAAAAAGTCCACGCAAGTCTGAGTGGTAGCTTCTTCTGGGCAGTGAATATCTGATATCTCATGCACACTTAAAATTTGTGTGTGCAATTTTAAGCGTGCCTGCATGTTTTTTTTAGTTTTAAAAAGTCCACGCAAGTCTGAGCGGTAGCAGTGAATATCTGATATCTCATGACCATCAACAGCACCTCGGTGGAGTTGTTGGCGCATCAGAGAAATGTTGGGGCTTCTTGTCGCAGGTGCTGTGCATTGTGAGAATATTTGCAAAGGCTCATGATAGGCCTGTATACCCAAAGAAGCACATAGATTTCTGGATTCTTTCCACTAGACATTCCACATCCTAATTTTTTTTGGGAAGGGTCATATGCCCTGGATCAAATCCTGGTCTTAGAGTGGGGTCCACATCAAGATAAATGTGCAAGTGTAAACATGTCTTTACATTTGCATGGTGTGAGAAAATTCTTTTTTATGCTCCTGCTTGTGAAAGAAATGCATACTGTCCAGAAAACACGAACTTTTGCAGTTTCGTGCAAATGTGTGCATACTTGTGATCTTTGTGAATGCTTGCAGGAATATCAAAACTTTGTGTATTTGTGTATGCTGTAGAATAATCCTCCCTAATGGGGCTTCCTTTAGGTGTGTTGGACTACACCTCCTATAATCCCTCGGCCAGGAAGGAGCTAGATCGGGCAAAGTGGTGTCAGAAGCTCCTATCATTTTATGCGCTAGTAGAGAAGGCTTCGTACTCTGTCCATGCTCAGAGAAGCATGGATGCAAACCTGCGCTTCTTCAAGTAGATCCAAATATTTATCGTCGATCCTCTTGATGCTTACGGAGGAGTAAGGCGTATGCTGTTTGCTACACCAAAATTCGCCCACAAGTTGCATCATGTCTACAAATTTTGGTGTGCAAATAACAGCCTCGTACATTTCTTGCTGTGCACTTTCATGTGTGACGGTACAGCCGGTGAGGCACGCAGAGATATTTCTATGTGGTTTCCCTAATCGTGCTTCAGTTTGGGGCTTGGACAAAGTTCACAGACGTTGGACAGCTGGAGGGGAAGGGGAGGGGATGATGGGTGTGCCACGGCGGCAGAAGTGAGAATGTCCACAGTCTGGGGAACACTTAGAAGAGCCCCAGGCAGTCAAGCTGTGCTGGGCAGAGCTCAGAAAAAAAATACTGGTTTAGCCTTGTAACTGTAAGAAGTTTCCTAGAGTGGTAGCTGAGATGTGACGGTACAGCCGGTGAGGCACGCAGAGATATTTCTATGTGGTTTCCCTAATCGTGCTTCAGTTTGGGGCTTGGACAAAGTTCACAGACGTTGGACAGCTGGAGGGGAAGGGGAGGGGATGATGGGTGTGCCACGGCAGCAGAAGTGAGAATGTCCACAGTCTGGGGAACACTTACAAGAGCCCCGGGCAGTCAAGCGATGCTGGGCAGAGCTCAAAAAAAAAAAATACTGGTTTAGCCTTTTAACTGTAAGACGTTTCCTAGAGTGGTAGCTGAGGGGATTCTGGGAAATGTAGTCTAGTGGTTTCCAACCTGAGGTCCCCAGATGTGCTCAGAGTACATCTCCCAGACCGCTAGCTGTGCTGGCCAGGATTTCTGGGAGTTGTAGTCCAAAAAACGTCTGGGGACCCCAGGTTGGGAACTACATGTAGCGCACAAAAGTAACTTTTCCAAGGTCCAGTTTTGGGAAGGGGTTGTCCTGTGGCTGGTCTTGTGCTGTGATCATCTCTCCGGCCCTGCTTACCCTATGCTTTTTCCCATGCTCTCTCTCTCTCATGTGCCCTCTTTTCCCCCCTGTTCTCTTGTAGTCTCGGAGCCAGCTCTCTCCGATGCTGGTCTGTGGTCTCCGTGCGCTGGGCCCACACCCCGCGGGTGCTCCATGGGGACCTCAGCAAACTTTCGAGGCGGGTACAGGAGTTTGTGGAGCATGGGGTACGACTTTGCCAACCGGAGAGCGTCCACATCTGTGATGGGACGGAGAAGGAGAATGTCAAAATCTTGAACTTTCTTGAATCAGAAGGAGTCATCAAACCACTGACCAAATATGAGAATTGGTAAGTGCCGTATCCACAGCCATATCTCCGGCACATCCACCGCATTTAGCCTGCACAGCCTCAATGGAGCCGCGTAAGGGACAATACAATGGTGCCTTTGAGAATTGGTAAGTGCCGTATCCACAGCCTTCCATGGTCCATTTCCGGCACATCCACCGCACTTAGCCTGCACAGCCTCAATGGAGCACATAAGGGACAATACAGTGGTGCCTCGCTTAACGGCGATAATCCATTCCAGGAAAATCGCCGTTAAGCGAAAACATCGTAATGCGAGACAAAAAACCATTGAAACGGATTGAAACCCCTTCAATGTGTTCCATTGGGGTCAAAACTCATCGTCCAGCGAAGATCCTCTATATGGCAGCCATTTTCGCTGCCTGTCTTGCGAGGAATCTGTCCCAGAAAACAGCAGGGAACCATTTTGTTTACTCGGCGGCCATTCTGAAACCGCTGATCACCTGTTTAAAAAACATTGTTTTGCGAAGAATCAGTTCCCGAAGCAGGGAATCAATCATCGCAAAGCGAAAAAAACCCATTTAGACCATTAAGATCGTCTTAATGCGGTTTTGTCTTAATGCGGGGCAATCGTAAGGCGAGGCACCACTGTATTTGCATTGCAGGCACCCGTGTACTATAGCACCCCCGTTGTCTAGTGGCTGTGGAAGGAAGTGTCAGAAAAGTAGAATCCTCTATTCACTTCTTCCTGTCTTTCCATAGCTGGCTTGCTAAAACCGACCCTAAAGATGTGGCCCGGGTGGAGAGCCGGACGGTCATTGTCACCGAGAACCAGAGGGACACGGTGCCCATTCCTGCCCCAGGGGTCAAAGGGCAACTGGGCAACTGGATGGACCCCCAAACCTTCCAGAAGGCAGTGGACGATCGGTTCCCTGGTTGTATGAAAGGTGAAGAGAACGCAGCTTCGGGGAGGCAGAGGGTATAACGAAATGTGTTTTCCTCTAGGGAACGGGTGGAATTGCTCAAACCACACCCAGCCCCCCCACCAACGCTCCTCATCCCCTAAAATTATATCAAAAAGAATTGATCCTAGGAGCAAGAATTTCCTTTCAAGGAAGGCATGACCACCTTCTGTCGTGTCTTCCCATCTGAAAGGGTCTTTACACTAAAGGTAACATCCAGTCACTTCTGGATGTTTAGTTTACAGACTCTGTCTACTTATTCTTTGAAATCTCTCTCTCTCCTTAATAATGTATCCTCCACCCAACCCCAAAATGATATTTCGCGGCTGGCGTTGCTGTTACTGTGTTTTTATCACACATTCGCAAACTGTTGTAATTTATAGTTTCACGTATTAGTAATTTGGGGTTTTCATGGCGTAGGGCTTTCTTTTAAGCTGTAACCCCTCCCCCAGCACTTTGATGAGTAGAGATGGGCATGAACCGGTTCGTCCGGGTTCGTCCCAGTTTGTAAAGGCACAGGTGCTGCTGTTCCCCTCCCCTGCCTCCATTGGCACAATCCACCAATCACGTGCTTGCTTCCAGCCCCTCCTCAACTGATCTTCCGGTCCCGGCAAGAGCTCGGGTTTCTCTGCCCCGCCCTCTTGGCTGATCTCCCAATCAAAGAAAAGGGCAGGGCAGGGAAGTCTGTGGTCTTGCTTGTGACTGGGGGATTCGCCGAGGAGGTGGGAAAAGCAAGCTGGCTGGGCCTGGTGAGTGGCTGATAGGCTGAGGAGGCGGGGAAGGGGAGGAGCAGCTGTGCGGCCGCCTTGAACGAACTGGGACGAACCGGTTCATGCCCATCTCTACCTATGAGGAGCAGCAAGTTGGAAATCAATAAAAGTGCATCAGTTCAGCTGAATCTTCTTGTTTCCAGTCGTAGGTGGTCAGAAGAGCAAGCAAGAAAGAACACAGTGCCGTTTCCCCAAAGCATTCCCTCTTCTGCTTTCTTCTCCCGCAGGCCGCACCATGTATGTCATCCCGTACAGCATGGGGCCCATTGGCTCCCCACTCTCCAAGATAGGGATCCAGTTAACGGACTCGGCTTACGTGGTCGCCAGCATGCGGATCATGACCCGTATGGGTACCGCCGCCCTTCGTACCTTGGGGGATGGAGAATTCGTCAAGTGCTTGCATTCTGTGGGGCGGCCCCTGCCCTTGACTGGTAAGCATCTCCCCCTGGGGGGGGGGCAGGAAAGTTGTGGGGCAGACCTCTAAAATTGCCAGGGACGAGTTTCAGTTTTTTAGGCCAGCTGATTCTATTTTTTCCCCACCATCTCTTTTCCACTTTGTAGGATGGTTACCCCATCATGGGTCATAACCTCTGACGGACTTTTCCTCCAGGAATCTATCCTATCCCTTTTTTGAAGGCATCAAGGCCAGATGCCATCACCACATCCTGTGGCAAGGAGTTCCATAGCCTTTTGTCCGTTCTCACTTTCCCAACACTTAATTGGAGTGGATGTCCCCTGGTTCTGGTATTGTGTGAGAGCTTCCCTCTATCCACTTGATCCACCCCCTGCACAAGTTTATACGTCTCCATCATGTCCCCCCCTCCGGCGCCTTTTCTCTAGACTCAAGAGCCCCAAACACTGTGTAGCCTTTCCTCATCATGGAGGTGCCCCAGCCCAGTCCTCCTCTGAGTCACTCTCTTCTGCCCCTTTTCCAGTTCCACCATGTCTTTTTTGAGATGCAGCAACCAGAACTGTGTGCAAAAATCCAGGTGCAGCCTTACCAGCGTTTTTGTACAATGACATTATCATGTTGGCTGTTTTATTTTCAGTCCCCTTTTTTAAGGAAACCCAGCATGGAATTGACCTTCTTCCCTGCCTCCACACACTGGGTTGACCCTTTCATCGAGCCGTCCACCAGCACACCGAGATCTCTTTCCTGATCCATCACAGATAGCTCAGAACCCATTAGCTGATAACTAAAGTTTTGATTTATTTTTTTTTTTGCCCCAATGTGCATTACTTTAGATTCTCTTATACTGAAACACATTTGCCATTTTGCCGCCCGTTCGGAGAGATTCTTCTGGACCTCTTCACAGTCCCTTCTGGTCTTCACCACCCGGATCCTAGAGATCATCCAGACCATCCCCCCTCTCGAGGAGGCATGACGGGGAATCGAACTCCCAGCCTCTGGCTCCATAGTCAGATACCTAAACCTCTGATCTATCCAGGTTGTAGCCTACTGTTGTGCAATGATCTGTACTGGTTGAAGTGATGCACACTTGCTTAAGGCACAACAGTATGCTTTTGCCACACACAAAAAAACACTGCTCCTTGCACAAAAATCTACATATGAGAGATTTCGTAGAAAAGCTTGCTGCCAAACACACCCATTGTTTTGATCACGAAAAGACTGCTTGTTTATCATTTATTTACAGGCATTTACAAACTGCTTAGAACTGAAAGTGTCAAAGCAGTGCATGGAAATGATTAGAGCACATAATATACAAATTACAGAATGCAATATAATCATCATCATAATACTGTGCTGTCAAGTCAATTCTGGCCTACGGCTGTCCTTTTTCATGGTTTTCCAGGTACTGTAGAGAAGACTCAGAAGTGCTTTACCCTTCCCTTCCTCTAGGGGCGCTCTGGGGCGACAGTGCAGCTTGCCCAAGGCTACACAGGTTGGCTGTTTCTCCCAGGACACCCGTGAGGGGAATCGAACTCCCAACCTCTGGCTCGGCAACCAGATCCTTAAATCACTAAGCTATCCAGCCAGCTTAGAATGCAAAATACATGCAGTATATAAATAAGCAGTGCAATATATGTCATTGAATGCAAAAGTTAACCTACAGGAATTATGCCGTCCATTAAGTAGCTGGTAGATTTGACTGCGTAAAGGGGATTCGAAGATTTAAATAATATATTGAAGTAGAGCTGCTAGGAACTTATCCAATGGAAGCTGCTGGGAGGTACTGGAGATGTTCCTTCAGAACCTGGGCCACCCCCTGACCTCTGCTTTTTTTCCCTCCCCCCCGGCTCGGTTTCTTCCCCGCCTGCCATTCTTCCCTGCAGAAGACTTGGTGAATAACTGGCCTTGTAACCCAGAGAAGACGCTGATCGCGCACGTCCCGGAACGCCGAGAGATCGTCTCCTTCGGCAGCGGCTATGGGGGCAACTCCCTCCTGGGCAAGAAATGCTTCGCACTGCGCATCGCCTCGTGCATCGCCAAAGACGAGGGCTGGCTGGCTGAGCACATGCTGGTGAGAGGGGGCCGGAGAGAGCGGGCAGGGGATATGCCAGATGAGGTGCTTGCCGAGAGGAAGGGAGTAAGACCTAGTGGGGAGCAGGCCGCGGTGATCCGGGGAATCCCTGCTGAACATCTAAGCAAGCTCTGTCTCCTCCATGGAGTGGGTAGGGTGGCTGCTGTTTGCACAGGCTCAGAGGTACTCTTTGCTATTCCTAACAGAGCTTTGGTGCCGGCAACAGGGGCTGGAAGGGATGCGTCACATAAGCCCCAGTGCTGTCCCATCCTGACGGGTTTGAACTGCCAAATCGCTTCCCCGAAAGGAATCTGGGATCAGAGATCTTAGGGTGGGGGAGAGCCGTGGGGTGGGGACATGACTAGAACTGTGGAGGGGGTGGTTTGGTTCCCCCCCCCAAAGCCAGAGGCCAAAGAACAGTAGGTGTTTACCTTGTCTTGGAGGGATATTTAACAAGCAAATATTAATTGGTTAATGAGTGACAGAGGCCTGCTGAAATCCCATCCGTGAGGATGAGTCTGATGCACGAAGGGAGGGGGGGCGCGATGCAGGATCCCGGAGGGCATCGGCCTAGCGGGGTGGATGGGGGGGCCAAGAGAAATGATGCTGACGGCCTCTTTGGGTCGCTCCTGTGAGGTTGCACCGCGAAGATGCATGGGACTGTTGCGAGGGCTGGCTCTACCATGAGGCGGCGAGAGGCGGCCGACTTTTCGGTGGTCCCACGAAGGCGGGAAACGGTTAAGCCATTTATTTTGCCACAAGGACTGCCAAAGATGAGGAGAGGCGTCCCTGAGGATTTCTGCTTGGCTGGCTTTGGCTACCGGTGTCCTTGATTCGAGTGGGTTGTGGCCGAGGCGCCACATCCGGTTCTGCCTCAGGCAGCAAAATGTCTTGGGCTGGCCCTGGATCGTTGACATGAGGCTACGGGGATTTTTCAGAAAAATAAAGAAGCACTTACGGCTTGAATGGGGTGGTTTGGAGCAGACTCCAAAGCCTTGTGGGGAAAAACAGCTCCTTAAAATGAGAAAAACAGTCCGTAATACACGGTCTGAAGTCTGCCTATTTTCGGATGGTTTAAGGTAGTCTCAAGGGCCAGACAAAGCCACTTATTTTTTTAAATGATAGTTGTGGCAAGACACACAGATGTTGTTTATGGAGTCTGAAATGACCAGACGCCATTGCGAGTCTGCAAGGATTCCCAACGTTTAAAACAAAAAAGCAACAAAAGCCGGGATGGCTATGTTTAAGGACAGAAGGACAGGCAGGAATTCAACAGGGGAAGATGGACCCATCACTGTGCTTCAAAGGTATGGCTGCTGAACTTTGGTTCATGGGCAGCTATTAAAGGCACGGAGTGGGGGAGAGAAGGAAGGCTACAGCAGGAAAAAACAAAAAGCAGAAACCATGAGGAGGAAATTAAAAATCTGATTATACAAATCTAGGCTTTATGACCCGAAGATTTTTCATGGCAGATTTCCTGTTTGTTGCATGCTATCTCAAGTAAATGTTTGTTCCGTACGGGAAGAAATTCCTGTGGAATTTACAACGGCCTCAGCCGATCCACAGATTCGTTTTGCTACTTGTGACCTTATACCGTTTATATTGTGTTTCTATATTACTTTATGCAACAGCAACTTGGGGCTTTGCTTGCAAATTTAGAATAGATCCAGTGGCATACACGGGACTCGAATTAGCCATGATTAACATGGGACCATAGAAGCATTGAGTTGGAAGGGGCCTATAAGGTCATCGGATCCAACCCCCTCCTGCTCAGTGCAGGAATCCAAATCAAAGCACATAAGACAGAGGGTTGTCCAATTTTTCTCTTGAAGGCCTCCAAGCGTTGGAGCGCCCACCACATCTCCTTGAGGTCATGGGTTCTATTGTCATACTGCTCTAACAGTTAAGAAGTTTTTTTGGATATTCAACCGAAATCTGACTCTCTGTAGCTTGAGCCCATAATTACATGTCCCGCACTCTGGGATGATGAAGAATCGATCCTGCCACTCCTCTATATGGTTGCTCTTCAAGTATTTGAAAAGTGCTATCTTTCGCCCTCTCGGTCTTCTTTTCTCAAGGCTTAACAGGCCCAGTTCTTTCCCTCTTTCCTTAGAAGCATTGAGTTGGAAGGGGCCTATAAGGTCATCGGATCCAACCCCCTCCTGCTCAGTGCAGGAATCCAAATCAAAGCACATAAGACAGAGGGTTGTCCAATTTTTTTCTTGAAGGCCTCCAGCGTTGGAGCGCTCACCACATCTCCTTGAGGTCATGGGTTCTATTGTCATACTGCTCTAACAGTTAAGAAGTTTTTTCGGATTTTCTGACTTTCTGTAGCTTGAGCCCATAATTACATGTCCCGCACTCTGGGATGATGTAGAACCGATCCTGCCACTCCTCTATATGGTTGCTCTTCAAGTATTTGAAAAGTGCTATCTTTCGCCCTCTCGGTCTTCTTTTCTCAAGGCTTAACAGGCCCAGTTCTTTCCCTCTTTCCTCTTAGGGCTTGGTTTCAAGGCCCCTGAGCTTTCTTATTGCCCTCCTCTGAACTTGCACCAGTTTGCCCGGCATCCTTCTTAAAGTGCGGCATCCAGAACTGGACACAGGACTCAAGCCTAAACCAGTGCAGAATAGAAGGGGACATAAATCCCATTGATTTCAATGGGTTTTAATAGGGCTATAGAAGGCTGCCGAAACCGTTATTTGAACTGCCCCCAACGCCTCTGTCTACCTAAGTAGGAATTTGGGCTAGCTTTGTTTGTTTGTTTTTCTTGCAAAGCCTTCCAGGTTGTCACTGGAGGTGTATCTTGTCTTGAAGATGCTCCTGGGAATTTCATGCATGTCTGTCCATGCAAAGCACTAGGGGTACTTTGAGGAAAGGGGGGAACGTTACTTTTTGAGGATGATGATGATGCCCTTTAGCACCCCACAGCCAGCATGGCTAAATGATGATGATGCCGTTTAGCACCCCACAGCCAGCATGGCTAAATATTCCCCCTTCGTAAAACGCCAAGCTTTTTTCAATCTCTGTTTAACAAAGTTTTTTTTTTAAATTGACTCCGCTCTCATGGGCTGCTCGTGCTCATATTTCAGATCCTGGGCCTCACAAACCCTGAGGGGAAAAAGAAGTACGTGGCGGCCGCTTTTCCCAGTGCGTGTGGGAAGACCAATCTGGCCATGATGAACCCCACGCTGCCAGGTTGGAGAGTGGAGTGTGTCGGGGATGACATTGCGTGGATGAAGTTTGACAGCGAGGGTGAGTAAGCCGTGTTGGAGGAAAGGGACAAATGAGGAGGTTTAAAGAGATGGGAATCAAGAGGGTGTCCCTCCTCGGGCTGTGCCATTTAGCTTTTGACTCCAAGACTTGCAGAATTCTCCAGAAATCCTCCAGGCAGAATTCTGGGACTTTCAGGCCAAAGAACCACACTTCCAAGCACCTATATTTCACTCACCTGAAGAAGGGTTCTGTCCTGGAGGCTGCATGGCCTAGCCCAGCCTACTTCCTGTATTAGATCTACAACAAAGAAACCTGTGGTGGTGGTTCCTGGGCATTGTAGTCTCACTGCCCTTTAAGCTCTATAGAGAGAGTGCCTCCTAAAAAACTACATTTCCCAGGAAGCACCACAGCAGTTTCTTTTCGGGTAGCTTTACTACTATAGGCTGGTCCTAGGCCATGCCTGGGCCTTGCTCGGGCTGTGCCATTTAGCTTTTGACTCCAAGAATTCTCCAGAAATCCTCCAGGAAGAATTCTGGGACTTTCAGGCCAAAGAACCACACTTCCAAGCACCTATATTTCATTCACCTGGAGAAGGGCTCTTGTTTTGGAGGCTGCATGGCCTAGCCCAGCCTACTTCCTGTATTAGATCTACAACAAGGAACCTGTGGTAGTGGTTCCTGGGCATTGTAGTCTCAGTGTCCTTTAGGCTCTATAGAGAGTGCCTCCTAAAAAAAACTACAATGCCCAGGAAGCACCACGGCAGTTTCCATGGGGGTACCTTTACTACTATAGGAAGTCAGCTGGTCCTAGGCCATGCCTGGGCCTTGACAAGGCCCTGCTCTGGGTGAGTGAAATACTGGACTCTGTAAATGGGGCGGCTGTGGCCTACATCTCCCAGAATTTTAGGTAGGAAATTCTTGGTTAATTCTCGAAGTCCAAAAAATCCGAACAGTATTCATAACTCCTCAATGGAGAGCCATTTAGCAGAGCGCCAGCCCAGGTTTTGAGAGGGCCGCAGGCGTGGATTCCTCCAGTGTCCTCTTTGGTCCTCACCCCTGCTACTCCTGCCCATCTGTTGACTTTTTGCCTGAATTGGTGTGATCAAAAGGAGAGAAGGACCTTGGTAAAAATGGAGAAACCTGCATGTAAAAAGTAGATTAGAGCGTACAAGAGAATGATCCTAAGATCTAGAGCGGAAATCGGCGGAGCGCCTCACCTCCTCCTTGTTTATTCCATGCAGGGGTCCTGCGGGCCATCAACCCGGAGAATGGCTTCTTTGGGGTAGCACCGGGGACCTCCACCAGGACAAACCCCAACGCCATGCATACCATCCAGCGCAACACCATCTTCACCAACGTGGCCGAGACGAGCGAAGGGGGAGTCTACTGGGAGGGCATTGACCAGATGATCCCGGCAGGCGTCACTATCAGCACGTGGCAGGGCAAGCCCTGGAAACCAGGTAAGCCTCTGCCACCAGTCGCAGACCGGTGATGGGTCACTCAGGCTCAAACTAGGCAATGCAATTAGCGTGCCTTTAGAAGCTGATCGTCTCCTTCGAGAGGCGAAATAAATCTGTCCATCCTGACAGGAGGTTGCTGCTTGTGGCTTGTAGCAAATCACCTTGCTGTGGTTTTGGGATGGGTCATCAGGAGGGATAAATGGGCTGCACTTGGCAGGCCTTGATCACATAGGAGTGGAGCTTTAAAGGAATTGGGTGCCTAGAGGGAAAATATGGGAACAGCGGGACATGTGCATTTATTTGCTTTAAAAGATGCTTTCACCCGGAAATGCGGTCTCGTATGTTCGCATGTGCTCCAGTGGTACTGAACACACGTGGCAGGTCCTGGATTCAGCTCTTGTTATTTTTGCATCCAAAATAATTGATCGCCCTTACTTTTTCTAATGTAGAAATGTTGGGGTGGGAGAAGGAACATGAAGGATTTGGGACAAGAGAAAATGCACCCAGAAAACCCATGAGTTTGCCCCCTCCTGATGTAGATTCTGGATCGACAGGCATGTCCATCAATGGAAACCCATTGAAATTTCCAGCCTCAAGACAAACACACTGCCATTTTTAAATGTTTAATGTTTTAAGGAGCATTGTATAACTGGCATTCTATTTTATGATGTTTTATATGTTGACTTCATTTTATACCTGTCATGATGCTTTTTGATTGATTGTGTTGTGAACTGCTGTCCAGAGTGGCATAGATAGATAGATAGATAGATAGATAGATAGATAGATAGATAGATAGATAGATAGATAGATAGATAGATAGATAGATAGATAGATAGATAGATAGATAGATAGATAGATAGATAGATA